AATCTTTATTTATGAACAAAACTCAATGAAATTTTCAACGCTTGTTAAATTTGTCATTTCAAATAAGAATATGCAAAAAAAAAATTGAAAAGGTCAAAGGGCATCCCGCAATTCCCAAAAATAGGAATGAAAATCCCAAAAATGGGATTTTTTACTTTTTTGCCCATAGGGTCCACATTTCTTTCAGGGCTGGGAAAATACTTTTGGAGTAAATAGAAAACATATTGAGGTTTCCAAAACTGCTTTCAGTTTTCTGATCCCAGCTTTGGGATTTTAGAACATGTCGCCCAAAGTTGAAGTTTTGATAAAAAATAGGTCATATTCGGAAGGACGCAGTGGCAACATTTTCAAAAAATAGGACAAGTTTTTTACGCCAAAGCGTTCTGCGTAAAGATACCTTTTAGAAAACTATAAAATTGTTACATGTTCTTAATAAAAATTTAATTTTATTAATAAAAGAGTTAAGACACATTTTTGGCAAAAAAACGCCAAAAATCTAAAATTTTTTGAATTTTTAGATTAAAAAACGTATATTTTTGGATCTGTAAACAATATTGATCTGAAATTTTTTGTATATTATTGGAAATTTTGTTGTCTAACTAACAAGAAAAAATTGAGTCCATTTGGTCCAAAATTACGCCCGGTATTCAAAAAAAGGCGGACCAAGGTATGGTAAATTTTGTATCACTAAATTTTTAAATGCCTATAACTCGGATATTATAAGAGATAAGTAGTATCAAGCATGTTTTTTCAAGATCTCGTCGAGCGCTTTCACAAAATATAAAAATCTTTGTATTTGGGTGAAAAACAAAAAAATGGCACGAGTTTAAAAATTTTACATGTCGTAGGTACCCTACTTTGAGCCGCCACAGCGCCGTCCCTGGGGCATCTGCAGGGTTCATCTTCAAAACTTAACGCCAAATTTTATCCCGATCGGATCAGCCGTTTAGAAATGCCAGATTTATTTCCAAAAAATTTCCATTCTGCCCCACTGTGCGTTGTGTGTTTTACAGCCACAGTATATCGTATAATTTAATGCAAGAAAAAACCAATTTACCAATTTGTTTTAATTTTAACTATTTTTATTAGGTTTAAAATTAAATTTATATAATAAAAGTGTATAATATTAATATATAACACGATTGAAAAAACTTTGTTTGTCGAATCTGAACATAAAATATTTCATGTTAACAAAGGCAATGCGGATGATTTTCATAAAACAAATTGATTTTCATCAATGTGAACACCAAAAGTCAAATAATTTACATCATTTTGGTAAAATAATTATTTGATCTTGCAAACCAAATAAAGATCTACAGCGTCAAATAACAGCTGTTCTTTGTTTATTTTCTGAAAAAGAGTGTTATCACCTCAAAAATGCAAATAGTCGCTAAAATGACTGGGTTTTGTTTTATTTTTTATAAAATAGATATCTGAGACAAAGTAGTTGTGACATTTAATAGAAATTTAAGCAATTGCCTAAATTAAAGATAATTATTATTTTTGATGTTTATTTTGTTATTAATTGGTTGACAACAACTTACTATATATAAGGTAATTTCAAAAATTTTCGAACAAAAAAGTAGGATTTTGAATTTTTTTCAACAAGTATTAAATTTGACGTATATTTTCTTAATTATTTATACGATTTTAATCGTTTAGTCCCCAATATTTTATTTAAAATATTACATTTTTAACGTGAGGATGATGACATCAAACAACGTCCTTTAGTCAAGGATATCTCAGAAAAGTTACCTTCCATTTTCTTTATTCCTTCACATAAGATTGCTTATTGTGTATAGAAATTTTGGAGAATTTCAAATTCCGTATTTACACGAAGAATGTGTGTACCGAATTTCATCAAAATCGGAGAGGGTAAAGTACAAAACCTGCTCGAAAATTTTTGAAATGCCCCTCTGGTTTATAGTCTAGTCTATAGTATATTCTATAGTCTAGTGACTAGACTCTAGTCTAGTCAAAAGTCTAGTCTACAGTCTAGTCTAAAGTCTAGTCTATAGTCTTGTATATAGTCTTGTCTATACTCTACTTTATAGTCTAGTCTATAGTCTAGTATATAGTCTAGTATATAGTCTAGTCTATAGACTAGTCTATAGTCTACACCATTTTTAAGTGAAATTGAGAACATTACGTATTAAATTGAGAAAAATCCACATGAAATTGAGAATTTCCATTTCATATTAAGAAAATTAAAATTGTGATTTTCAATTTGAAATTGAGAAAATTCTGAATCAAATTTAGAATTTTAATTTAAAATTGGGAAAAATCCAAATAAATTTGAGAATTTTACGTTGATGTTGAGAAAATTTTAAATTAAATTGAAAATTTAAATTGAGAGAATTCTAAATAAAATTAAGAATTTCCATTTTATATTGAGAAAATTTCAATTGAATTTGAAGTTTTCAGTTTCAAATTGAGAATATTCTAAATGAAAATACGAATTTCCATTTAAAATTTAGAAAAGTACAATTGAAATGGAGAATTTTGAATTGAAATTGAGAAAATTCCAATTGAATTTGGGGAACTTTCAAATGAAATTGAAAAAATTACAAATGATTTTCAGAAAATTTTAATTTGCAAATAAATATATATGTACATATATATGTATGTAGTGCAATACATGAATGTTCCGTGAAAGCTTAAAATTTGAACATTTTGACAATCATTTCGAAAAATTCTGCGAAACTTTTTATACTTTATACTGGGATCTGAACTTTTAACCTAATCAGCGGGAAATTCAGGCCACATTTTAATATTTTTTTTTTTTAACTTTGACGTATTTGGACTACCAACACATATCGCTTGAGTGGTATTCCTACATAGTATTCATGATAAACCAGCCATTGTTCCTCGACAATCGGTGGGTTAACATTGAAATTTCTTTATTATTTGTTTTTTAAAATGTGTTATATAAATAAAAGGTTCTCAATTTCATTTGAAATTTTCTTAATTTCATTTAAAATTTTCCCAATTTCATTTGAAACTTTCCCAATTTTAATTGGAGTTTTCTCAATTTAAATTCCAAAATTCTCAATGTGTGGAGCTTGAAGCCCCCACATGAATCAAATAGACAAATTCGTATATCTGAGAAACTATTAGAACTAGAATCTTCAAATTTTACATGAAGAACTCTGAAATTCATGTGAACATTTGGAGCATAAGGGGCGGACTTTCAATGGGTGGCTTGGCACAACATATATAAATTAAATAAAAAATTTCGGGCATCTTGGAAATTCTTCTATTATTAAAATTTTTTATAGATAGATAGAAATTGGCGATATATAGAAACTGGCGAACTCGCAATAGTTTGCTTGACATATCTCATATGTAACGTATTATTAATCTGGAAAACTATTTTGGTTAGAATCTTCAAAATCGTTAAGTGGGATTTTTATTTATACATATTCCTTCTAAGGTAGAAAGCACACTGGGTATAGCTAGTATATTAATAACAATTCTCAATAACTTTAAATTTTATAGATAATTTAATGAAAATAATTTATAATTTGGTTATTTCCCGGCTTATAGCGATATTTTTAAATCGCTATAAACCGTTCCAAACAACCAAGGTTTTTCGCTACATTGACTATACTAAATAGCAACAACATGACAGTGCAGGTTCACCATCTGTCTCTTTTCCACTTGCACAAGATATGTAAATGTAATTTGTTTTTTTTTGTGATAAAATTTTGTTGAAAAAAAATATTAAATGAAAGTTTAGAATAAATTGATGTTATTATTCAATGATATATCTTTGTAGTAAATATAAACAGATATATTTTTGGCTTTTGGTTTGGTTGCGCATTAACTGTTCTTCTTGTTATGTTCCTCTTTGCCTACAAACAAAATCTTGTTTTTTCACTGTTTTATCCGTCAATTGTTTTAAGAAATTATTTGTTGTAGTGTGATATCTAGATATCTTAATTTTTAACAGCTTTCCATGGTAGTGGTTTGGTCACATTTCTATAAAGATATTATAAGTTCCTAATATTGACTGATAAAAAATAATATGTATATACATTGTATTTTTGCTACTACTTACAATTTTGTAATCTAATACTAATTTTTTGTTATTTTTATTGATAATTTATTTACTTTTTTAATAGGTAAATAATAAATAATATTCTAACCTCCTTATTCACAAACAACATTTTTATTTTATAAAAGGTTTATAAAACAAAATGTCCATACAAAATACCGTTTATAAAATAAAAATTTTGTTTGTGAATAATTTTTCAATTCATGTATAATTTTTAATAAATTTTATCTTATAATATATATTTACTTTACGTGAAGAGATTTTTGGGCATGTGGGATTGTCTTTTTGTAAGGTAAGTTAAAAAAAAAAAACACGGTGGCAACATGTAAATTTTTTGACAGAAGTATCTACTTTTGTTGTTTTTGTAGAATTGACTTCACCTTATATGTAAGTGCACCCTGGTTTCGGTCAAACATTTCTTGTAGGGTTGTTTCTTTTCGACTCTTTGTGTTTTCAATAAACAGATTGACGGACGGACATAGTCAAGGTATATTAATTATAAGGTAGTGTTATCAGAACAGCTGATCCAAGGCGAATTCATATAAGGTGGTGTTATTCAATCAGCTGATAATTTTTTTCTTAATTCGCCTGGTTTACGTAGCTGTCAAAGTTTGTTATTGTTTACATTTTTATAGTTAAAAATGTCCGTTGTTTTCATTTTGTTAATGTCAAACTGGTTTCATTTTGTATATGTGAATTTTGTGATTAAAATGAAATTGTGTGATTAGGGATTTTTGTGTTTTTAATCTTTAAAAGTTTAAACATCAAAATAAATTATAAACAGATTCAAATTTATAAACATTTTTTGTTTAATATAAATTCGCTTTGATATATTTGTTAGCTGTTTTGGTTTATTACTAAAGATCAAATAAGTTTTTTATTTTTCATATTTTAAAAAGAGAATAAAAGCAATTGTTTGCAAAAAATAACCTAAACGTAAAACGAGTTCACATGCAAAATAAAAATAATCAAAGTGGCAACACTGTTAGTAACCAAATAACCAATAATTTTACTTCACTATACTCTAAATTATTTCATATTTTTTCATTAAAATAAAACTATTGAAGTTTAAACTTTTAATTCGAGATGATTTCAAGAATTCAATTGCTTTATAAACCTATTTTAAGGAATATCTCTGTAAGAGGTGGCAAACAAATTGATTTGCAGTTTAGAAATAGCCATGTGTAAGTAATATATGTCATTATATAAGATGTTGGTATTTTGACTGAAAACTTTGCCAAAATAATTGGAAGTATTTTTTGAGTTAATAACTTGTTATACCCTACACCACTATAGTGGGGAGGGTATTAAGCGTTTGGCTGATATATGTAACACCCAAAAATATTGGTCCTACACCCACCTCAAAATATACCAAACGGTCTGTCTGTCTGTGTGTCCATGTAAACCTTGAGAGTTAAAATCATTTCTGCAGGGTACCTTCTATGTTGGGTAGGGTTAATTATGGACCAATTCTCTTAAAATTTGGTACAAAGATTTTGGTACCTATTAAACTGGTACGTATCGAAAAATATATTAACAAAATATTCCGGTATGTGATGGACTTTTTAAGTTATTACATCTTTTGTAGAGAATACAATTTCCAATATTTTAATAAAGATTATTTTCGCGGATCAATAGTTGCTTTCGAATTATTTTCTTTTTATTTTCCTTAGAAGTGCTACTTGTAGTCTGAAAATCTAAAACATTTTGTAGTTTGAAACATGATAAAAATATGAAGGTAGTGTCATTTCTCTCTCTCAAAAAATTTTTTGAAGTTTACTGGTATTTTTGATATTTGTATTTTGTAAACAAATAGAAAAATCCTTGCCATAGTATATGAAAAATGGGAAACTAGTTGTAAAGAAATTTGTGTAGTGTATGTGGAATTTATGTTAATGATTTTTAAAATATTTTAAGTCCAGAGATAACCGTTGTTGAGCTGGTCCGATTTAGTTAGTTAATCAGTTTGAAAGGAGGATGTATGTTTCATCAAACCTGAAGAAATACACCTAGGTTTACACCGGGCCTGTTGTGCTCTCTTTTATTAGTGTCTCTGGTGGAAGTCGAACACACGACTTCCGGCCTAACAGACTAGAATACTAACAACTAACCCACCGGAGGCACACAGATTTAAAAAAAGGATTATAAAAAAATATGTACATAAGTAGATGGATAAAATTTAAGATAAATATATATCTTTTTAGTATTTTAGTTTAAAAGTATTTCATACACAAAATGGACCGTATACCACACGGTTTACATAAAAAATTAATTTGTAAAGTTAAGGCGAGCAACAAGAAATTCCACTTAGCATTCTTGTCCAAACCCTAATAACGGTGTCAATATTAGAAAAAGGAGTTTGAAGCAAAGTAGCCAAAGATTTCATGACAGCGTTATTTTGCACCTGAAGTAAACCGCGTATTCTTGGACCCAATGGACAGCTAATTCTGGTTCATTCTGCCTACATATATACCTTGATGTAAGAAGATAAAAAATCCAATTTGTTATTACATATGTATGTATACCGTTTTTAGTTGGTTCCTCCTGTTAATCTATTCCGCAACTTAAAGAACATGGGAAGCAACAGACAATGCTTTCGGAGGCGCCTAGTGTCCATCAATTTGATAATGGGCTTAACAGCTTATATTTCTTGATGTATTTTTTTTTTTTGTTTTTGGCAGATTTAGTAAAATTTTTAATGTATTTTTATTGAATTTAAAATTTTGTTTGATTCTCAGTTTAATTTTTATTTTAATTTTTGTTTGAAAAATAAACAAAAATAAATGGGATTTTCAAAATAAATGTGGTAGCTCGATTTATAAAAATACCAGCAAACGTCAGAAGGTTACTATGGCGACAAAAAGAGAGAATGACACTACCTTGATATTTTTATCATGGTTTGAAATGTATTGAGCTTTTAAAAAAAATTTGAATTCTGTTTTTTTTTACAAAATACACAATTAACCATGATAAAAATATCAAGGTAGTGTCATTCTCTCTTTTTGTCGCCATAGTAACCTTCTGACGTTTGCTGGTATTTTTATAAATCGAGCTACCACATTTATTTTGAAAATCCCATTTATTTTTGTTTATTTTTCAAACAAAAATTAAAATAAAAATTAAACTGAAAATCAAACAAAATTTTAAATTCAATAAAAATACATTAAAAATTTTACTAAATCTGCCAAAAACAAAAAAAAAAAATACATCAAGAAATATAAGCTGTTAAGCCCATTATCAAATTGATGGACACTAGGCGCCTCCGAAAGCATTGTCTGTTGCTTCCCATGTTCTTTAAGTTGCGGAATAGATTAACAGGAGGAACCAACTAAAAACGGTATACATACATATGTAATAACAAATTGGAGTTTTTATCTTCTTACATCAAGGTATATATGTAGGCAGAATGAACCAGAATTAGCTGTCCATTGGGTCCAAGAATACGCGGTTTACTTCAGGTGCAAAATAACGCTGTCATGAAATCTTTGGCTACTTTGCTTCAAACTCCTTTTTCTAATATTGACACCGTTATTAGGGTTTGGACAAGAATGCTAAGTGGAATTTCTTGTTGCTCGCCTTAACTTTACAAATTAATTTTTTATGTAAACCGTGTGGTATACGGTCCATTTTGTGTATGAAATACTTTTAAACTAAAATACTAAAAAGATATATATTTATCTTAAATTTTATCCATCTACTTATGTACATATTTTTTTATAATCCTTTTTTTAAATCTGTGTGCCTCCGGTGGGTTAGTTGTTAGTATTCTAGTCTGTTAGGCCGGAAGTCGTGTGTTCGACTTCCACCAGAGACACTAATAAAAGAGAGCACAACAGGCCCGGTGTAAACCTAGGTGTATTTCTTCAGGTTTGATGAAACATACATCCTCCTTTCAAACTGATTAACTAACTAAATCGGACCAGCTCAACAACGGTTATCTCTGGACTTAAAATATTTTAAAAATCATTAACATAAATTCCACATACACTACACAAATTTCTTTACAACTAGTTTCCCATTTTTCATATACTATGGCAAGGATTTTTCTATTTGTTTACAAAATACAAATATCAAAAATTCCAGTAAACTTCAAAACATTTTTTGAGAGAGAGAAATGACACTACCTTCATATTTTTATCATGCAATTAACTAAACATTTTTTTTGATTTTAATTTGTAAATTAATTTTTTTTAATTAATTTTCCACCATAATTTTATTCATAATTTGAAATTGAAAATAAACCAAAAAAATAGGGTCAATTATGCACCGATCCTCATAAAATTTGATAAGGAGATTTTGGATCATATGAAACTTATTTATTTATTATTATGTTAAATTTAATCGCTATACTCGAACTTTAAAACATGTATGCCCGTTAAAGCTATTTTTCGGGAGCCCACTTGTATGGGGGCTATCCGAAAACGAGGATCGATATTGCCCATTTTCAATACCAAACAAACCTTAGAAATGGAGATAATTTATGCAAAATTCCAACTATCTAGCTTCTCCCGTGTGGACCCTATCGTGATTGCAACAGACAGACGGACGGACGCACATGGCTAGATCGTCTTAGAATTTAATAAGGACCAAGAATATATATGTATACTTTTGTGGGTCTATGACCAATATTTCTTTTTTGGTAGTGGGAACCAAGAGGGAAACTGAATAATCAGTTTTTTGTATGGGATCAGTGCTTTCACGCTTATTTAGTTTTGTTCAAGTCCAATAAGTAATGTCCAGTATTTTACTAAAGTTAATTTTCTCATTTATCAAGAAATATATTTTCTAATATTAGAGTAATAATATAATTTTTTTGCGGCTAAACTAATAAAGCTATAGGAACAAACATTAAGTATGAGGTAAAGAATACATAAGGTTTCAACATATATTTTTTTAAGAAAAATATATTAGAAATTCCAAATGATATAAAAAAATGAAATTTTCAAAGGACATTATTTAAAATATTTCGTCCTAAAAAAAAAAAAAAATAGATTTGAGTTCCGGAGATTGTCCTCATCATTTCATACCCATATTGACGAAAATTATTCAGTTAATTTATTTTAATAAATTTTATTATCCTTACAACTTTAAAGTTCTTTAAAAAGGAGAAAAGATCACAAAATAAAAAACTGAAAACTCAGTTTCACTTTAAATGACCTCTAGTATTATGTGTATATGGTCTCGTTCAGGTCCAATATTTGCTGTCGCAGGTTGCTATCTTCAAAAATGCCAAAGTTTTAATATTGTTTTTTGTTGTCATTCGTGGATTACTTTTTTATGGAACTGCCCATATACATTTATTTATTTGGTACTAGTAGTATTTTTAATAAATTCTAAAATTTAAATTTTATTTTCAGCGTTTCTTATCGAGTTGCACCGCCTCCCCACTCAAAAGCCACTCAAATTGGTGCTGAACTTGTAGGAGCTGCTATGTGGTGGTGGGTTCTTTGGCACTTGTGGCATGAATACGAACATATTACTGTAAGTTTCCTAAAAATTAATTAATTAAAATTTTATTAACAAAATCCATAGGTCACATATAGATAGATTATTTGGCTTGTTACCTGTTAAAAGTGGTGTACCCCAAGGCTCTGTTCTTGGGCCTTTATTGTTTAACATGTACTTCAATGATATCTTTACGAACATTGATCTTGTCTCTTGTATTTCATTTGCATATGCAGATGATTTAATGTTTTTGTTTACTGGTGAGCAACAGTTTGCTGACGTTTTTCAAAATGTAATAAATTGTCCTATATCGGATATTTCAAATTGGATGATGAATAATGGGGTTTTAATTAACACTCTTAAAACAAAAGCTATATATTTCGGTGTATCTACAAATAACATTGACATTAATATAGGTGATATACAAATTGAATTTGTTGACCACTTGCATTGTTTAGGTTTAGTTATAGATAATAAACTAAATTTTATTAGACATTTAAATTTAATGTCATCTAAAGGAAATTATCTATTACGCAATTTATACAGTATTAATATATGTTTACCTCTTCACATAAGGATATTAATTATTAATTCCTTGATAATGCCTGAATTTTTGTATGGTATGGAGGTTTATACATAGTGGTATTCCAAAGTTAACTTCGATTTTAGAAAGATCATATCACGTGAGAGTTGCACGACTTTTTAATACAAGAACACTGAAAACTTTTGAATTTTCTTATCATACTTTTAAACGAAAAATTTTAAAATACATTTGTGAAAATGATATTGTTTAGCCTTTTCTTTTGACCTGTTTATAAAATTTAAATTTTTGCCAGTACATAATAATAAATAATTTTTTATATTACAAAGCAATAATTTATTCAAATTTTTTAATAATTTTTCATACCTAACTTTATTCTATCTATGTTGTATCTCGTTATTGTTAAATTTGTTCTAAAAAATAAGTATGGTACATTACACAGTGAGACAAAATAAGCGAAAATTGGAATACCTGGGAAGTGATACAATTTTCAAGGTAGAACAAGAGTATGTTTCTTAAATTTGCCAAACACCTCCAAAGTTTTTCGTACTTTTAAGCACTTATAAGCTAGTAGCTTTGTTGAATCTCAACCGATTTTAAGTTTCTCCACGGATTTAGAAAGCAGAAGCTGAGGCCTTTATAATGACATACAGTGGTGAATAGAAACGACCTTATTTTCTCAAAAATTATCCGTTAGAATTTTATGTTTTTTATCTTAAATAAAAGTTATTTAACACTACTTTCTTATGATATAGAGAGTTTAGAAGTTTTTTTGCTCCATCGTATTTTATTGGTATTTGAAATATTTAGCATTGGAAAAAATAATAGAAACGATACGTAGCATAGAGCATATAGAGCGGAAACTCTGATGTCAAGGACCTAAGTCTGTTGTCAAAAACCTAAGTCGATTGAATGTATTAGTAGAAAAACTTATGGTAGTATTAGTATATTCCCCATATTTGAAATAACCCAACAAACACAAAATGGAAAATATTATTAATTTTATTTAATATTAAACATTTACGGTTCTTTAAAAAGAGGAATTGATTTAACGTTTACATTCGATTTAGAGTTTTAAAATTTAAAAATAGTTTGATTTACAACCTTTCTCGACTTTACATGAACCCTCAGTGTTTGCTGGGTAACGACATTTCAATTTATTATTCTGACATTTTCACCACAATAATTTTTTATTTATTTTTAAAATTTTACATAACTTCGGCAAAATACACAGATTTAGGTGACCCAAATTCAAGAGAAAACACTCGACATTCTTACGAGTATATGGTGTAGGCGACTCTTCCCTATCTTGGTGTTATTGCAATATGGTTTGCCGGGATTATAAACTGGTGATGCTAAATGTATCATCGGACATTCCTTGAAATTATTTGAACAGGGGCCGAACCAGGCTGCCTTATAATTTGATACCCCGGGGCTGAGTTTCCATCTTTGTCTTGTCCCGGTTATTGGAGTTTTCCATTCGGTATTTTCCGCAGCCACCACGGCTGCGGCTTAAACCCATACTCGCGGGAAGAGAATATTGGTTAAAAGGCTGGTTCACGATAAAGTCTATAATTCGGGATAAGTTCGGTGCTGTAGCTGAGATAACAGATACCACGCAGAGTGTTGGAAATGAGTTGGTGTCAAATGTATATCATACGGGATGGATGTAGGGTTATACGGTCCTTACTCACTCAGATGTTGGTCTCAATGAGTGTGTCGGTGTACAGAGTTGAATGGTGATGTATATAAAGTATCTTATAAATGTGATACCAATGAATTTGCCTTCCATGTCAGGGTATATTTAGGGTTTACTCTATCCATACCAGACCACAGGGTATCCACTGATTACGTTTCTAGGTGCTATTGCATCTCGGTAGTTAAGCAATGGTCAGAGATTATGTAGCTCGAGTACATGAGCAAAGTTTAAGGAGCACAAAGTGGTGGTGGTGAGTCGTCTAACAAGCTTACCCAGTGGTCGTATAAGGCCAACACGACAGGTGTTCACGTAAAGCATATTCACTTATGAATCTGTTATCTTTTCGGGAACAGCACCGAACTTATCCAGAAATATATATTTAACCCGTAATTTTGTGTTTAAACCACAGCCATCCCGAAGCGACCACTACAATAACCGGGACAAGACAAAAATGGAATTTCAGACGAGTACTGGAACATACATACATAAATATTATAATTTAGATTTTTTTATATAAAACTAAAAATATTTATTTTATTTACATTCAATTTGACAAATAACTGTGGGGAAACAGGTGGTATCCCAGCAAAAAATAATTGATGTCATACTTTACAAACGACATTTTAATCACATCTAAAAATGCGATTGCATACTTTTCGCTTTTATAAACCAAACATATACTTACAAATTAAAACACAGTTAAAAATGAGAAAAGAGATGTAGAAAAGTCACTACAAACAACATATTCGAAGTACTTCAAATTTTGATGAAAAACCAATGAAATTTACATAAGCGTTTCATTGAAAGAATGTGGTTTATTTTTGACATACAAATATCGGATTTTTACAGCTTCTAAAGATAAGATTAGATGTAGTTCAAAGTTGTCAAAAATGAACAACATCTCTCCAACGCTAATGTAAAATTCATAGGGGTTTCACCTGAAATTGAAGCACTTCGGGTTACTAGTTGTGATGAAAATTCTACATCTTCTTCCACACTTTTTTTTGCTGGGTTGTGATGAAAATTCTACATTTTTTTCCACACTTTTTTTGCTGGGATGTTGAATACACAGTACCCATATATGTGAACAGCCTACTTTATGTTTTCAAAAAAATTTTGACAGGTTTCCTCTCTATGTTTCTCTATGATACGTAGTATTACACTGGAGACATAAGCCAAGATTTGTTAAACGGCATTTTTGTACTTATTTTAAAAATTTTAATTGTAAATGATATTCCCAATATCAATTTTTCCTAGGTTCTTTATGTTAACGTGTGTTTTTTTCAATGCCTGGTTGACCATATGAGCTCTGACGGCCTAATTGGAGGCACGACTTTCAAATTTTCTTAAATAAAAAGTTAAAACAGTGAAAGAATTTACTTAACATCGTTAAATTACTTAAAAAATTAGTTCTTGAATAGACTTCGAGCCGAAGAAGTTTTGAATCCGCTTACATATAAAAATAATCCACCGATTTTTGGCCCACATTTTGAGCAATATTTCACATTTTGGCAACTCAACCCGTTCTTGGTGGTTAAAAAGGGGCTTAAATATCAAAGTATCTTGATGGACAAGTTGAATTTAAAACTAAAATTTGAAGAAATGTAAAAATTTTGAAAATTAATTTTAAATTTAGGTATAGTACTGTTTGGGAATTAATACTTAATTAATATAGACCCAATACGATCTATTGCAAAAAATAAAACAAAATGTTTTTAAATGAGGAAAATCAAATGTGTTTTTTTATTTCATTACCTTTTCTAAGATCTAATACGTTTATTTTATGGAAAAAATTTTGAAGAATATTCTTTCTGATGTTTTAATATAATAGGGTGCATTTTATCTAAACTAACGTTACAATAAACTACCTACAATTCAAACTGAATTATAATTTGTTTAGATTTTGTGAACTTTTTGTGTTAAATTTAACTTATATTAGCATTATTTCACAAGTCCATCAATATACTTTGATATTTAAGTCCCTGTTTAACCACCAAGAACAGGTCGAATTGCAAAATAGCGAAATATTGTTCGAAATTTGGCCCGAAAATCGGTGGATTGTCGTTATCTATAAGTGGATTCAAAACTTTTTCTTCTCGAAAGCTTGTCAAAAACTAATTTTTTAGATAATTATCTATTAGAAGTCATTTCTTTCACTATCTGAAGTTTTTATTTAAGAAAACTTGAAAGTCGGGCCTCTGGTTCAGCTGTCAGGATCCATATGGTCAATCAAGCTTCGAAAAAACAAATGTTTACATAAATATTAAAATAAAAAGTAAACTTTTATATTAAGATTTTCATTTATAATTAAAATTTTTAAAAATACTACAGTGTAATACTGTGAATCGTTTCTATTATTTTTTCCAATGCCAAATTTTTTAAATACCTATAAATTAAAAACTCCATATATCGTAGTAAAGTAGATTTAAATAGCATTTATTTAAGATTTAAATCATCAAATTCTAACGGATAGTTTTTGAGAAAATTTAGTTTTCACCACAAAATAAAGTCGTTTCTATTTCCAACACTGTATATGATGTTTATGTAAACAGGAGAGATATGTGCGAATTTAATCAGCAATCATATTTTTTAGTTTTGCACCGTTCTCCAAGTTTGGAGATGTTTTTTAGAAGTATTTTATATAGGAACCGTAATATTTACAAATGTAATTGTTTCGGCGTCAATCCGATTTGGTTCAGTGTAAATGCACAAAAAGAATAAAACACAAAGATTTATTAGTTTTATAAAAGGAGAAGATTTGTCTTCCTTTATATATTACCTTAAGCATGTATGCACAACAAGAAGTGCTCTTTAAGGCTT